AACTGCTGATTTCTTTGGGGGCATTGCCCATAAACTTTTTTTTTTTTTTTGATATGGTCTTGTTCTGTCACCCAGGCTGGAGTGCAGTGGTGCGATCTCGGCTCACTGCAACCACTGTCTCCTGGGCTCAAGCAATTCTCTTGCCTCAGTCTCCCAAGTAACTGGGATTACAGGCGCATGCCACCATACCCGGCTAATTTTTGTATTTTTAATAGAGATGGGATTTCACCATGTTGGCCAGGCTGGTCTCGAACTCTTGACCTCAAGTGATCTGCCAGCCTTGGCCTTCCAAAGTGCTGGGATTACAGGCATGAGCCACTGTGCCTGGCCAAACTTTTCATAAAGCATCAATGATTTCGTCATTTTTCCAACCATGCCTCACCATAAATTTGATGTTTCTCACAGTGTCAAGCCCAGTGCTTTGCACAGTGATGCTGTTCTATAAACAATTATTGAATGACCCTTTTGTTCAGTCCTTGTTCACTACTGAAAGGTGTCATGAGCTTAATGACAATGGTCTTTTCAATTTTATGGAACTTGTAAGTTTATAAAGCAGTAACCTATAAAGCTAGATTGCAAAACCTGTTAGGGTAAGAGTTGTTTCTCTTTTGTTTTCCTCTGTTTCTTACATGTCTGGTATGTTGCTCATTGAGAAATGTTTGTTGAATGAATGTCTTTTATTTTTCCTCAACTGATTTCACAACAACTGAATGAAGTAGGCAGGCAAAGACAGTTTGTCCTGTGTTATAGATAACACAATCAAAATTGAAATAGTAATAACTTGTCCAAAGTGATGCAGTTTTAAAATGGCATAGCAAGGACTTGAACCTCAGACCTCAAGACCAGTGTGCCTTCACCTACATAGAACTGTTTCTAATTTAGATCTCAAGCCCAGTTTTGCCCTATGTTCTTAACTTTTATAATCATTCCTTACAGCCAAAAAAAAAAAAAAAAATCATTTGAGGTATGTGTGTGAGCTTTAATTTTCTGCTTCAGTTGTAAACTTCCTTTTAATGAGTGGTATTATCATCTTGTAAGTTCATTTGGAAAATATGTATGAAAATCAATGGATTAAGTTCAGAAACATTAAGTAATTTCTTTCTCTGTAATACTTTATTTTTGATTGTTCTGTGGTTGCCATATTTAAGTAAGGTAGATTAGCAATTTCTTATGCTTAAAACAATTTCTTTTTACTCTAAGTATTAATATTTATAGAGGATCAATATATTATTTCTTTGACTATTGTTTCCTTTTGCTTTAGTCTCTAGAAACTTTTGGCATTGTTTCAAACAGACAATTTACGGACACTAAGATCACACTTGGTGATATAATGCTTTCCATCAGGCACTTCTTGGATACCCTTTTGTACACATATTGCTGCGGGTATGGGATTTCTTTTCATGCTACGGGTAGCATCCAGCACCTTGTATAAATGCATGAAATACTAAATAAGAAAAAAATGATGACTGTGGAGCTAGCTCTTGTTTTGGAGCAATGCTACTTGATGTTTTTAAATTACGGGAATTAGTAGGCTGCTGGAGCTTTAGAGTTATTTGAATCAATCGATCTGATTACGAAAGGAAGCCAGGGCGTTGGCATTGAGGGCAAGGAAAACTTTGTTTGCCAGAGCCTTGGCTGCATTTTTTTTTCCTGCTGTTTCAGCCTATTTCTTCGTGTCTTTCTCAAATTACTCCATGAATCTACATAATTTACATGAACTCATTGGATGCATAGTTTGTATAGAACATTGGCTTAGATTTATTTATATATGTATTGTCAGGAAAAAGGAGAAAAAAATGTATCTGGGAAAAGGGACTGCTGAGACAAAGTAGACATTTCCCTGTTGCCTTTTCTATGCTTCTCTTTCTTGCAAAACAATTTGTCAGCTATTTTAATGTGAGATGAACAATTATAGTTTCTGCTGTTTTATTTGATGGGTTACTATTATTATTTCTGAGCAGAAATAATTTGATGAGAAAACACACTCTGGGAGTGTTGACAGTGCTTACTTTCCCAGTAAGTGTTGGTCTTAGGGATATTGTTTTCCTCCACCCATTCTTGTCTTGTATGTCCAAGGTTTGTTTTGGGTTTAGTCTAATTCACTGAGCTTTTTAAAGTTTGAGTTTGGTTTATAATGAGTTAAAAAAAAGCACACAGGAAAAATTCAAGGTTCAACAAATTATTCTGGGATTTTTGGCTCATTTTAAATTCCCACTCAAAACTTTGAATAAGTAAAATCCAGGAGTATTAAAAATCTCTTGAATTAATTGTGCTTCCTTTCCCCAACTTGTCTCCAACCGGGAGATCATTTATTTGGAGAAATAATCAATATAAAAAAATTATCATGTACTGAACAAATATAGAAAATCTTGGAGGTTTGTTTCAATGATTAACCACTGTGGCCTGTTAAAAAAATGTTCAAGTCAAGTGAATGCTCTTTAAAATCTAGGCCTCAACCTAACTTTTATCTTCCGTACTTCAGCATCATTTGCAAAGTAAGATTATTGCTTTCACTCTTTAGCATCTTTAAGTGTAAATGTGTGCAGGTGGGGATGGGGTGTGTTCAATAGGGAGCTAAGCCAGAGCTACACCACAGGTTTCATATGACCTCTCCTTGACAATTAATTGCTTTTGTAAGCAAAAAAACTGCTTAAATGAATGAAATTATCATGGTTTTACAGTATTTTGAACTCTTTATTATCAATAAATGGAGGATGTAATTCCTGATAACGAAAGTTCAAGCTGAACTCTCCATATTATACAAACTCCGACCTTTAGTTAAAATATTCTTGTGATGATGTATTGTTACTGGATTTTCTCCATTACTTCTTTGGCCATGGGCATATTACTGGGAAGTGTTGGTTTTTTGTGTTTTTTGAACACTCTTTACAAGTGTGTTTGCTCTAAAGTTCCCATTTGGAGCTGTATAATGTTCACAGAGATAAATATGAAGAAGAAATATTTAAGAAGTAGAGCTAATATTTCTTAGGGAAGACAAAGTGCAGGGGCTAAAACATGCTTTAGAGTTAAATGGATTTGTCAGTGAAATAGCTTGTATTATTTAAATCATAGATAAAATTACTTAAATTTTTTAGAATCTTAAATAAGGTTTTATTTTGATTTGAACATAGTGAGAATGAACCAAGAAATGGGCAAGGCATAGAAATGATTATACAATACGATAAATATTTCACATAAAGGTCATTAAAATTACGTTGAAAGAAATTTGTTTATTGTTGTAAGTGGGGAAAATGAACTGATTTTGGCTGTGTTTGAAGTGTTGGGTAGAATTGGTTTCCATGTGAGACTCTTAAAAGACTTCTTGTCCTTTGGGGCCCAATTCAAATTCTCTTACGTCTTCTATGTGGTCTGAGTCCCTCAGTCAATATCAGTGAGTTTTCGGAGTTTTCACCAATGTTACCTTTATCTCTTTTTTTTGCATTCTCTTTACTACCTTGCCTGTGTTAGAGTTAAGGATAGAGTAGAAAGAACATGAATGTTGTAATAGAAACCCAGTTCAATCAAACTTTCTGAAACCCAGTTTACTCAATTGTAGAATGAGAAGAGAAATAGGAACTCCTGTGGTTCTTGTGAAGATTCAATTGGAAAGCATAAAGTACCTGGGGCTGAGCAGGCACTCAGTAAGTGTCAGTGTCCATCTCATTTCCGAATTTCATGTCTAGTTTCTCCAATGGTCTAAGTTCCTTCAGGGCAGGAAATGTCTTTTATATTCATAGTGCCTTGTGCATATAGGTTCTAAATGATTATTTGTTGAATTTAATTTAATGTCCTGTCATGGAATCTTAGCACTGTTATTTCCCGTTTCTTTTCCCTCTGTCACCTTGGATTGAGATAAACATGTTACTTTCTTGATATTAGGGATTTAATTCAGTAGAATGCCATTTTAATATGATTTATTTCATAGAGTTTGATATAGGAAGGGTCAAATAATTTCCCTGGAAATTTAATTATATTCTATAAAATCTTATTAGCCTGTCTCATGGCATCATAGTCACAGTGGAGTTCTGGTGTGTTTAAGATGGTCAAGTCTCTATCTGGAGAAATCTGTCTAATGGCACAGAGTGAGAATATGGGAAATAAATGACATAAAGAGAGAGCAAATGCAAATGTCTTGCAAATTACATTACTTGACATTTTCAGTCACTAACCCTCCAAAGTATGTTCTAATTTACTAAAATAAACCAAGAATCCAATTTCTTGTGAGCTTCCTTTGCTTAATTAATTATTAGTAGCAGACAGCATTCTGTAGTTTGTTGCAATTTTTCACCTTTGTATTTATCTAGTACCTGATTTAAAAAGAATGGGAGCATTCTGATTCAGCAGAACTGATCAGAACTCTCTTTCTGCTCATAGCTCATCTGTGTTATAGAGCAGAAATGAATAAATGTTTGCTGAACATGCCACATATGCTTTGATCATCAAAATGTTAAGTTTTCCTTCTCAAAATACAAGCTCTGAGAGATCTTCCTTGCTGAAGTTTGTTGGGTAACCTATTCTGCATAGATATTATTATAGAGGCAAGCCAGATCCCATGCCATTATAGCAAAATATCATGTAAGCAACTACATTTTCATAAATTTGTTTGTTTCTATGATTGAAATGTGAGCACTCTTTAATGCTTCCTTATTATGATTTGAAATTATACATTCACTGTGTTTTTTAAAAATTTAAAAGCAGAAGTGTATCTTAAAAGATGAACTTTCTTTTTTATTTTTTTAAACGAAGTATGCTTTTTTGTTAGAATGAAGACTAAACAGGCTTCTCATGCATGCAATAATGTTGATTATACTTAGAATACGGTTTGTAACTCTTTGTGTGTCCCTAATTATTTCATTGGAAGATAATTAGCTAGCATTTGTTATCACTGTATTATGAATGGGAGAAACTGAGGCTCATTATCGACTCTTTGTGTTAGCAAGTTGAGAATTTGAGAAAAATCTGCTGCTATCCTAATGATCTGCTTTTGTTTTCAATTTCAGTTTCAAAGGACATTTGAGTCTCTCAAAAATGTTGCCAACAAATCCGACCTCCAGAAAACCTACCAGAAGCTTGGGAAGGAGCTGGAAAATTTGGATTATTTAGCCTTCAAACGTCAGCAGGTAGGGGTCAGAGCTCTCCTTGGTGGAGGAGATGAACACTTTAGGCTTCCTGCCATCCTGCCTGTCACAGGTGCAGGTGGGTCTGAGGAAACTTATCTTCTAATGGTTAGAGCAGAAACAGGTTGTGTTGTGCTGATCTGCTGTGTTCATATGGCTTCCCACAGTGTTCAATGTGGTCCTTGCTTTTAGATGTGTACTTTAGGGATTTCCACATGTGTCCTTATACCTCGCTTAAAAAAAATTCCTGCTGGTTTGTGAAAATCCAACTACCCTTTGACTAGGGACGCTTCAGCGGCATAAAGGAAATCTCTATAATGGCTTGGCCAGTTGGCTTTTATATTTGACCTGGGGAGAAAAATCACCTTAAGACCAGGATAAGGTTGTGGGTGTACATGCAATATTAAGGAAAATAGTCATAAATATGCCAAAATATGAATCGATCTTTAGTTTTGTTTGATCTTTGAAGATGAGTAATTTGCTAAGTGTGGAAGGTAGAAGGAAAATTTGCTTTTCAAATGCACGGTTTTTATTGCCTCCTTTTGTAGGCCCCAAGATAAATAGAGAGCTGAAATAAACTTTTATAGGGTTTGTTTTAGAATTTGTACTTTATAACTGAATATTCATCATGATTAAATGCTGTGTGTTTTGGAGACACTACCACAGTAGCTCGCTACTCTTCCTAGACTGGATCTGCTCCAGTTTCTTCACAGCCACTAGGTGTCAGCATTGTCAAGCTTTTACTTCCACCAAAGGTTTATTCTGATCAGAATAGGCAGTTAGACGTTTAAATGAGGTTGCATGAAATTCGGGAATGTGCTCCATGATGGATAGCGTCTAGAAAAATGACTAAATGTCTGACTTGCATGGCCAGGCATCGAGTCGATCACTTGAGAGACTTTCCTCTTAGCGTAGCAAAGGGTGTGGCATTCTTGCCATTGCCTAATTCACAAGCTTTGGATCCTTTTGGATGAAGGTTTTCAACGCGGAACTTTCTATACTTAGTTAAATCTCATGAAGTCAGCATGATATGGTCTAGAATTATTGAACCAAAAAGAGAATTGTGTTCTAGGTATTGCTCTATCACAGATGTTACATGGACATTTAACCTTTCTATGGTCCTGTTTTCCTAGGGGTTATATTTATTTTATAGAATGTTCCAGGACAAATACATTACTTTTGCACATACATTAATTTACATGAAAAAGGATACAATGTCCATTTAAATTTTGTTTTTTAAAAAAATTAATGAGGGTCTAGGTATTAGCACTTGATGGTTACTGAGTGCTACTACAACAAATCCCCAGAGGATGCTGCTTAGCATTCACACCAGAGTCACTCCTCTGGCCTATGCAAGTTTTAGTGCAGTTTTGTTTCCGAAACCTTCCACGGAGGGGTCTTTGAGCTGGCAGGCAGTAGTCACTGTACTCTTCTGTTATCCTTTCTCATTAACACATTTTCAGTGATTGGATTCTTTTACTAGCTAATTGTGAATTTGGAAGAAGGTAAATACCTCAAGGGCAGAAGGGTAGAACTCTGGGAGAATGGCATTGAGGATAGGTGGGTAAATTATATGTGCATAAAGAAAAGATGAGCATATGGAGTGTGTGTATATATATATGCATATATAAATCATCTATACTATTTATTAAATGAAACGCATATGCCACATGGTATGATTTAAACATTTATGAATGAAATCTTTAAATGCTTATAACAGTACAGTGAGCTGGCTTTCATTAGCACCATTTTACAGATGAGAAAACTGTTAAGAAAGTTAAGTAACATGCCTAAGGTCATGGAGCTAATAAGGCATGAAACTGGGCTTCAAATCTAAATCAAGTCTGACTTCAAACCTGGAGTGTTATGTCTTCTTGATGGGCAGGATCAAAGGGTCAGAACATCAGCTCTTCTCTAGCTTGGTGGGATTTGTCTTTTATCTCTCATTCTATTCCTTTGAAGCTCCAAAACCTGATTAAGCACACACCAGAAAGTGTTTTTCTTCTAATAGAAAAGATTCAGGTCTCTGTAAAATTGCCAATTTAGCAAGAAAGTTTCCTCTTTATAAGACAGTATTCTTTGTGTTAGAGAATTAGTCATGGTTTGTTCCCTGGTCCAACCGTATTTATCATTCCGCATTGGGACAGAACATAAGCTCCATAAGGACAGGGCCTCGTCTGTCACCTTTAATGCTGTATCCTCTCCAGTGCTCACAACAGTATCTGACTCATGGCAAATCCTCAGTAAATATTATTGGTGGTGGTGTTGCTATGAACAAAGAACCATGCCAAAAGGTTTGACCTCAGATTATAGGCAATTAAAATCAATGTGTTTTGCTACACTTTTAAAATTCAAAAGAGCATAAGCCTTTCGCTTCCTGGATACCACGGGCTGAGAGATTGTCCCTTGCCCCTATGTATTATTGAGGTTTTCTCCTAACACATTTTATTCTTCTATCCATTTTTTAAAAGAAACAGAAAATGCCAGTGTTAACTCTGAATTATGGATGTCCAATGAATTAACTATAATTATTTTATTGGAGTCATCCATTAGGTTTTATTTTCTGTCCCCTTCTATGATATTTTTAACATTTTTGAGAGATTTTTGAGAGATTTCTTTCTCGGCACAAGATAGACTACTGGAGTACTTTGCTCCATTCTCTGACCTCTGTTTTTCTGAGGTTACTGTGTTTTCTTTCCTAGGTATGAACTTAGCATTTATTTATTTAAAAGAAGAGTGCCGGTGCATCAGCTATTCCTTGGGTACAAGCATCTCTACATTTTCCTACTTTCAGAAAGACTAATGTTGAAATAGCTTTGATTGGAAAAGGTGAGAGAGGAGGTTGTGATACGTGAGGTGGTGGGTTTACCGGGAGGAGTCAGCCTGAAGTAAACAGATGCCAAAGCAGGATTAACTGGAGAATCTAGACACTCTTTTGGTTCTTACTATCAAAAGGCAGGTACAGTCTTGGAGTTTATCTGCTTGAACTGCTTGGTTTTCATCCTTCTAGTTGGTGTGACATAGGAATGGTAATAGCAAGTTCCAGTTATTACATTGATCCCAGATTTATGTATTAATTTGAGTGCTTATAAATCAAGAGCTTTCTTTAGAGCTTTCATTTTGTGGAGTAAAACAAAATAAGGTTTGATAATGTGGACTCTAATGTAATTCATTCCTCTCTTTATCTACCCTTAAAACTTATAATAACATTATAAAACACATCCATTTCCAGAGGCTTCTGAAGTCTTTTGATATAAAATAAAGTTGACATTATTGGGTTGAACATTATATAGACTAAAGCACATACACATTGATACAAAAATAAGTAAAATTAAATTATTGCACTTCAGACCTACACGCATGTTGAAATACATCACATATCTGATTCTTGTCTCTCTCATCCCGGCATGCTATTCTTGCCTTCTGACCTGTCCACAAGGTTTATATAACTTGGTATTTAGAATATACAGCCCCTTTGATTTTACGTACTTAAATCATTCTTTAAAGTCAAACTTGAAGTCTAGCCTCCCTCGTATCACCTCCTCCTGTGACCTCTAGTCAATATGTTAACTCTTCACTCTTTGCCATTCTTAGCTTTTATCTGTGTCTTACATTTTAGCATCTGATTGATGATATACTCATTGAGAATCTATGTAGTACAGTGATTAGAGTGTGAGCTTTGTAGTTACCCAAACTTGGTTAGACTGTTTGTACTGGGCACCTGAGTTTCTTTTTAAAAAGCATCAGAAAAATAACCCCTAACTTAAACAGCTTGCTTTGAGGAAACAATATATCAAGTATAAAGTAAGTCCTATAAAATATGTATAAAGGACTTAACATTGCACCTGATATGTGTTTAGTATAACTGGTAGCTATTATAATGTTTTGTCCATTTTCTTAAATAGGTTGTAAGTTCCATAAGGGATATGGATATGTTCTTTATTTTGTATACTTCTGTGCTGTACATAGGGTCCAGCACTGTTCTGAACATATGGAATAGAATGTTTTTGGACATACATAGTCTAGCAGTTGGTGATCTATGTAACAAAAAGAACATGTTGACACCTCTTGAGAAGGGAGATGCAACATTTGGTTCTAATATGTTTCTAAGGTGGTGTCTCTTGATGGGCAGTTAATGTACTGAGGACTTGTACTATGACAATCTGCTGGGGGAAGTGGGTCCAGTGTTCTGGCTAACATCCAATTCAGGTTAATAATTACATTCTATATACCCAAACTTCCCTTATGCTTCCAGGTATTGTTCAGCACATGATACTTTGTTAGTGATGATGCTCAGGAGTGAACAACTGCTTTTTTTTCTTTTACTAAATTGGATGTGTGACCCCTTTTAGATAATTTCAAAGCCAGAAGGGTACATAATACCTTGGGATAAAAATTGAATTTAAAAAATCTTTTATATAAAAGAAAAAAATAGAAATAAGTTAGATAAAATTTATTTGATAAAAATGACTGAGGGTTAACATTCTTCTATTGAAAAATAAAATTCTACTTGTTATCTCTTATCTTTTTAATGATAGCCATCCTAACAGGTGTGCAAGACAAGAGATAACTGGGGTTGGTGATGATGTGGAGAAAAGGAAACCTTTGCACATTGTTGGGAATGTAAATTGGTATAGTCATTTCAGAAAAAGTATAGAGGTTGCTAAAAAATATAAAATAGAGCTATCATAAGACCTGTCAATCTTACTTTTGGGTATATATCCAAAGAAAATGGAATCAGTATCTTGAAGAGATAGCTGCACCCCCACATTCATTGCAGCATTATTCACAACAGCCAAGATATGGAAACAACCTAAGTGTCTATTGACAGATGAATAACGAAAATGTGGTATACATATATGCAATGAAATATTATTTAGCCTTAAAAAGGAAGGAAATCCTGCCTTTGCAGTACTGTGGTTGAACCTGGAAGACATTTTGCTAGGCAAAATAATCCAGACACAGAAATATACATACTGTATGGTCTTACTTATATGTGGAATCTAAAAATGTCAAACTCAGTGAGGCAGAGAGTAGAGGGGTGGTTTCCAGGCATTGGTGGGTGGAGGAAATCACTAG